TATGGTGTCTTTTTTTTTTTTTTTTTTTTGTTTTGAGACGGAGTCTCGCTCTGTCGCCCAGGCTGGAGTGCAGTGGCGCGATCTCGGCTCACTGCAAGCTCCACCTCCCGGGTTCACGCCATTCTCCCGCCTCAGCCTCCGAGTAGCTGGGACTACAGGCGCCCACCACCACGCCCGGCTAGTTTTTTGTATTTTTAGTAGAGATGGGGTTTCACCATGTTAGCCAGGATGGTCTCGATCTCCTGACCTTGTGATCCACCCGCCTCGGCCTCCCAAAGTGCTGGGATTACAGGCTTGAGCCACCGCGCCCGGCCAGGTGTCTTTTAAATAACATCAAAAAATAGAAATCATCAAAGTATATTCGCAGATCCCAGTGCAACTAAGCTAAAAATCAATAACAAAAAGATAACTAGAAAACCTCCGTATGTTTGGAAATTAAGAAATATACTTCAGAGAATATGGGAGAGAATAAGATACAGAACCCAGGTGGAAGGTTGCTTTTGCCAAGAGGAAGGACCCCCTTTTTGTTAACCTCCGCATGTCTGGACCATAGCTGCACCGCCTCCCAATGCAGTTTTGAACAAGCTGAATTAATCATTCTGGGAAGTGTTCAAAAATGAGTCCAAATGGTGGACTCCAGGACTTCCTTGCTGACTTTCTTACTTTGATCAACTAACTCTATGGCATGATCTTAACAGTTGTAGTTCTCAAGGTTCCCTAAAAGGGAACTTCTTGTTCTCTCCAAGTTACAGACCCATCACTGAGGGGCAGGGAATGAGGTTAACTCCTCCACAAACTAAGTGCTGCTCAGGTCCACATCTAGATGTTTCGGTCCCACAAGCACCCAGAGCCTGACATTATTTTGTAAAAACAGATCCTGACAGAGCCAGGAGCAAGAAGAGCCGTCAACCCCATCTCTGTGAGGGAGCTGGGGCTCGGCAGGCACAGGCTTGGGTAGGGCCACAATGCTCCTCTGAATGGATTTTGGGTTAACCAGAGATGAAAAACTCAAGTTCAAGGTCAGAGGTCTTTTCCCAAGATGGACAGGTGGCAAACGGGCCTATCAGGATCACAAGAGAAGCTTCATGAACATGAAATATTCTTCCCTGGGCCATTCCAGGCCACAGACTACAGGTTTTCTATCTTTCAGCCCTGAAAACTCTCTGCCTACTTCTTTTCCTTTTCACATGAAATCTTATCAGGGTTAACAGGTGAAACTGGAAGCAGTGAGATCCCTGGAATCCCACTCTCTTGGCTACCCCCGCTCTCCAGCCACCACCATGGCGCCTGGCCACAGACACCCTGCACTTTTAAAAGAGTATGTGTAACCAAGTACCTATTTCAACCAAAAAAAAAAAAAGTCTTGAGAAAGTCTAGCTTTGAGTAAGGCGACTTCCTGGTACACGCTCCAAAGTAAACCTGATGCAAAATGTATGAGTGAGGAAACGGGCCACATAGAGTTATTAATTGCAGACCTGCTAAAAACAGCGAATACTGGTGACACTCGTAAAGTAAAAAGTGGCCACACACACACAGCCCTTTCTTTGGGGTTAACAGTTATCAGTGGCCAGTCCAGCCCACTCTTTTTTTTTTTTTTTTTTTTTTTTGAGACAGAGTCTCGCTCTGTTGCCAAGGCTGGAGTGCAGTGGCGCAATCACGGTTCACTACAACCTCCATCTCCCTGGTTCAAGTGATTCTCCTACCTCAGTCTCCCAAGCAGCTGGGATTACAGGCATGCACCACCATGCCTGGCTAATATTTCTGTATTTTTTTAGTAGAGACGGGATTTTACCATGTTGGTCAGGCTGGTCTTGAACTCCTGAACTCAAATGATCCACCTGCCTCAGCTTCCCAAAGTGCTGGGATTACAGGCATGAGCCATCACGCCTGGCTTAGCCTATACTATTTTGGAATAACAAAGTTCTTCCATTGTAGATAGAACGTTTGTCCTACAAACAGCTCATCTAAAACAGTCTGACATCACATAACAATGATAAAATAGGGAGGGAGGGCCAACCCATGATCCCCTCCTCCACATCCACTGCCTCCCAGAAAAGCTTTCCCTGATATGACTTGATAGGATGGTCTCAGCTCAGGCTGCGGATGCTGTTCAATCCACCAAAACAACAGCCCCAGGCAGGACATCTTACATGTTTGTATACCCCAGGTTCCGATTCCACAGGAGGGACGGGCTCTGCTCACGTCAAAAACATTAAAATGCACCCAGCCTCCCACATTCAATCGTTTCCGTTTAAACATTTCAAATGAACTGTATCACTCTGCTTTTCAAACAATTATTTCTTTTGCCCAGTTTTTGGTTGTTCAAATTTTTGTTTGTTTGTTTGGGGACAGAGTCTCACTGTGTCACCCAGGCTGGAGTGCAGTGGTGCCATCTCAGCTCACCGCAGCCTTGACCTCCTGGGCTCAAGTGATCCTCCCCACTCAGCCTCCTGAGTAGCTGAGACTACAGGTGCACACTACCATACCCAACTAATTTTTTGTGGTTTTTTTTGTAGAGGCAGGGTCTTACTATGTGGCGCAGGCTGGTCTTGAACTCCCTGGCTCAAGTGATCCTCCCACCTCGGCCTCCCAAAGTGCTGGGATGACAGGCATGTGCCAATATGCCTGGTCTGTTGTTCGAATTTTGGATCCAAGAATATTTTCTCAGGTCTCAAACATTTTTGAGATCCTTGAAAATCTTGGTGATTCCATGCATTGCTGTTATCCCTAGTACCCATCGGATAAATCAGTCCTGCCCTGTGAAGCTCACTGCAGGGTTTACTTGTGAGGAAAACATTGAGGACAGCGTTTGTTCTACTAAGCAGTGTCCTCTCTGTGTGGACCTTCAGTTCCACAGCACAAGGGCTGTGTGGTCTTTCTCACCCCCAGGTCCCCACACCAAGAGCCTGGCCTGGCATGCAACTGTTTAATGTTCAACTAGTGGTAATGCCTAAACTGGACTTCTATGCGCTGCCTGAAAATCACCCTTCCTAGGGCATGTTGACCCCATTCCCCAATCCAGGAACACAGGCCACCACTCTTTTCTATCTTTGAGCAAATTAGAAAAAAAAAATGCCTCCCCTGGGCTGTTACACTCCACTAGGAAATCCTTCCCTGGGGCTTACTCACGCCTTCCACGTCTTTCCACAGAGTTGGAGTCCACCCCTCACCCTTACCAGGCCCACACATGTGCAGGAACACATCCACACACAGCAGGCTGTGTGCACACAGACGATTCCCTCGCCTTTATAGGTGCTATTCCTTTGACTTGAAAATCCCATCAATTCTAATCTGCACATACAAACTTCAGCGCCCAGCCCAAATATCACTTTCTTTGTGATTCCTCCCCCTACACCTCTCAGGCAGATTGCATCGCGTCCTCCTTTTTATTCCCATCACGGTGGAAGGTACCCCTATTTGAGTCTTGCCAGGTTGCATCAAATTTCTTTCTTCCAGGTTTGGTTCCCGGCTGAACTGTGTTCTCAAGGGGAAGAACCGTGTCTCAGTCATCTCAGTCTCCAATGCCTAGGATGAGACCTCTTTTTTTTTTTTTTTTTTGAGACACAGTCTCGCTCTGTCACCCAGGCTGGAGTGCAGTGGCGCGATCTCGGCTCACTGCAAGCTCCGCCTCCCGGGTTCACGCCATTCTCCTGCCTCAGCCTCCCGAGTAGCTGGGACTACAGGCGCCCGCCACCACGCCCGGCTAATATTTTGTATTTTTAGTAGAGACAGGGTTTCACTGTGTCAGCCAGGATGGTCTCGATCTCCTGACCTCGTGATCTGCCTGCCTTGGCCTCCCAAAGTGCTGGGATTACAGGCGTGAGCCACCGCGCCCAGCCAAGACCTTTTATATACATGGTGGGTTTTCAATAAATGTTTTAGACTGAATGCAGAACTCAAGTCAAGTGACTCCTCAGCTCAAAATCTCTACAGAACCTTCCCCTTTGCTTCCTGGCTTTGTTTCAAACTCCTCCACCAGGCACGCGGAAGCTCAGGCCACAGCTCTCTGCTAGCCTCCCCACCTCACCTGCGTGGGCTCACCTGGGCTTCCAGGTGCTGCTGGTACAGCCCACCTCTGACACCTCCTTACCTCTGCGTCTTTACTCATCTGTCCCTCTACCTACAGTGCCATCTTCCCCTCTCCCCCTGTCAAAATTCTAGCCATCCTTCAAGGCCCGAGCCAAATGCCATTTTCTTTCTCTCTTCCCTTCCCTCCCCTCCCCTCCCCTCCTTTTCCTTTCCTTTCCATTCTTTTTTGAGACAGAGTCTCCCTCTATCACCCAGGCTGGAATGCAGGGGCAGGATCTCAGCTTACTGCAACCTTTGTCTTCCAGGTTCAAGCGATTTTCCTGCCTCAGCTTCCTGAGTAGCTGGGACTACAGGCATGCACCACCACACCTGGCTAATTTTTGTACTTTTGTTAGAGATGGGGTTTCACCTTGTTGGCCAGGCTGGTCTTGAACTCCTGACTTCAAGTGATCCACCTGCCTCCGCCTCCCAGAGTGCTGGGATTACAGGGTGGGCCCTCATGCCCAACCTCCAATGCCATTTTCTTCTTGAAGCGTCCCACCAGCAGATGTGACCTCCACTGCTGAAACCCACAGTGCTTTATCCTTCCCAAGCCATTCCCCGAACACTGCTCGGAGGTTGAATGATGTGTGTTTGTCATTAACGCACTTCGAGAGCAGGTATCTCCCGACTTCAGCATAGTGCAATCAGTGCACACAGTAGGTGCTCAGTGAATATTGGACCAAATGGAATTGAGCATCCATGCTACACCTGCAGATGGGAGAGGCAGCAAACTTATGTCCCAAGAACCAACATGACACAGATCTCTCTTATCCTCCCGTTTTTTCTCAATAAGGACAAAATTTGTGCTCAGGGGAGAAGGGCATAGCGTGCCCCTCCCTTCCTTCCTCAGCCAACAGTTTGGCTTCCCTTCTAGAGAGGTGAGAGAAGGTGTGACAGGCCAAGTTTCCTTTGCTCCACCCCGTCGTGTTTCCCCCAAACACCCAGCGCAAGTTCACGTCTGGCAGAGTTGCTTTCCAGCTCCTGCAGGCTGGAGTCGGCTCACCTGCAGTAGGCACTCAGCACAACTCTGCGAGACCGGCTCACCTGCACCCGGCACTCAGCACAGCTTCCAGCATGCAGAGCCTCCCCACTGCCACCCGGGCCACCTTGATCCTCGGCCTGGCCTTTGCCTCCCTCCACTCGGCTTGCTCGGCAGGTAGCGTTATGAGATTTATTCGTGGCCAGGCTGGGAAGGGGGAGGGAAGGAGGGAAAAGAGAGGTGGGAGGGAAAGGAGGAGGAGGAGGGGGAAGATTCTTTGGCCAGGGTTGGTCCTGCACAAAGGAAGGAGGAAACAGAACTTTCTCATCTGAAGGATTAGGCAGGGGGTGGGAGGTGGGGCTGGGGTGGGGGTGGTCTTAGGTTGGCCTAAGACAGAGATCAGGTACTCAATTCCTCATCTAGGGCAGGAGCAGTCACCTCTCTTGGCCTTTGCCACACAGAAAGGAAAAAGTTATTTGCTGGAGTCTCACCCATCAGAGGACCAAAATGACATCTCTTGGTCCGCTGTGTCCTGAAGGCTCCTTCTCAGCCCCCCTGAGCTCTCGTGCTTTGCAATCCTCTCCATGCACATTTGCGTCTGACCTTCCCTTTCCTAAGTCCTCTGCCCCTCTCTGTCCCCTGTACTTTCTCTGCGACTTTCACAGAACCTGACTGCCAGGAGGGCTGCCATTCACTGTCTCCCACCCTCCTGCCTCCCTGGGCACTGGAAATGTGGGTTATCTCCCTATTTTCCTACAGAGGCTGGAAGGCTGATCTACACCCGCTGCCTTGCCCTGCCAGGCCGGGGTCTGCAACTCATGACAGAGGGACCTTGGTTACCATCTCATGCTCCTGGCTTTGATCTTGTTCTCAGCCACCTCAGAACACCACCACATTTTCTATGCCCTGCAACACTCTCCCGCTCCCAAAACCAACCCTGCACCCCCAAAGTCCTGTATCTGCCCCTCTCATCCTCAGACTCTCTTCTGCAGCCAGTGCCAGGGGTGTTGGTGTTGAGGTTCAAGACGTGCGCTCTTGAGCCGCTGAGCCTGAACCCAACTCCATCTTCCATGACTCACTAGCTACGCGACCTCAAGCAAATTACTTTCCCTCTCTATGCCCAGTTTCCTCCTTTATCTCACGGGGACCGTCATAGTGCTTGTCAAGAGGCATTGATATAATTTCATGTAAAGAACTTAGAAATAGCCCATAGAAAATTAGCCAGGTGTGGTGGCGGGCGCCTGTAGTCCCAGCTACTCGGGAGGCTGAGGCAGGAGAAAGGCGTGAACCCGGGAGGCGGAGCTTGCATTGAGCTGAGATCGGGCCACTGCACTCCAGCCTGGGCAAAAGAGCAAGACTTCATCTCAAAAAAAAAAAAAAAAAAAAACAAAAAACCAATAACAACAACAAAAGAAATAGCCCATAGAACGCACACAGTGAATGTCAGCAATTATGGTAAGCACATTCATTTTATTTTCCAGCTTCACCCCTCCCCAAATTAGAGTGCTGAGTTTCTTTCTACTCACCCTGACAGTGTCTTGCTTGTGATGGGAGCTGAAAATCAGAAGACAAGTTTAACTGCACTGAATTGTTGGGTCTTCTCAGCAGCTTTTCCTGTGGAATAGCCCCAAGTGAGCCAGTCCCTCCCTCGCTTCTGGCTCTGCTTATAAGGGAGGAGGGTGATGTTTAAATTCTTAGGAATTTTCACCGGGGCTATTCCATTTGAACCACAGAAAATTACTGATATCGAACAATTTTGACCTATAACAATGGCCATTTCATAAGCTTGAACCTAACCTTAGCATTCAGCCAACTAGGGTTTTTTTCCACTCACTTTGGAAGAGGACAACTTCCATTCTAGGTGTAGAGGTGAGATGAAAGTCAAGGCCAAGGAAGTTATTTGAGTCATAAGGAAAATTAGAATAGTGAGGAATCAGTTTCTCCAAAACAAATAAAGAGCAGGCTCTAAGCCATTTAGCTGTAAATAATTTACAGTAACAGATTGCATCGAGGCAATTACTATACTTTAAGCAGGACATTGGAGTGGCTTGGGGGTTGGGTGGCATAAAATTAGTCTCAGCAGCAATTTCATGGTTTTAGCTAAACAGCAGGTTTCTTCTTAACTCGTCCTGCTGTGTGACAACACGCACCTTTGAAGGACACGCTGACCCATAGTCAGGGGAGCCTTGAGAGTTTCCACACCCACCACCTTTTTTTTTTTTTTTCCTTTTTGCATTCCCAAAGAAGCAGAATGAACAGTAATATAATTTCTAGGAAGGTTCTTCCAATCCATCTCTTGGTTTCCATCTACCTAGGTCAGCATTAGCACTGTCTAATAATAGAACTTACACTGAGGGTGGAAACGTCCCATGTCCAAATGGTGCTTCCAATATGGTAGCCACTATTCACACGTGGCAGTGGAACCCTTGGCATGTGTCTAATGTAACCAAGAAGCTGAGTTTTTTACTGAATTTAATTGTAATAAATTTAAACAACCACAAGTGGCTAGTGGCTGCCGTATTGAACAGTATGAACTTAAGAGGTCATCTCTCTTCTTACCGTCAGTTATGGACAGGAACCTGGATGCCTCAGATCCCTAACCCAATCCCACACCCCAAGCCAACAGGACTTTAAGAATTCATGCTGAAGTCCTTTTCATCTTTCCACTCCTTGCTCACGAATCAATCTATGTGCTGCGTATTCCGGCAATCTCTGGGCTTGCTTGTACGATGTTTAATTTTCTTTGACAGCCATCATTCTGGAGGCTGGAAGTCCAAGATCAAGGTGTTGATGGCTTGATTTCTCCTGAGGCCTCCCTGCTTGGGTTGCAGATAGATGCCTTCTACTGGGTCCTCACGTGGACTTTTCTCTGTGCATGTATGCTGCTGATGTTTCTTCTTCTTCTTCTTTTTTTTTTAGACGGAGTTTCGCTCTTGTCACCCAGGTTGGAGTGCAATGGTGTGATCTCAGCTCACTGCAACCTCCGCCTCCCGGGTTCAAGCGATTCTGCTGCCTCAGCCTCCCAAGTAGCTGGGATTACAGGCATGCACCACCACGCCCAGCTAATTTTTGTATCTTTAGTAGAGATGGGGTTTCACCATGTTGGCCAGGCTGGTCTTGAACTCCTGACCTCAGGTGATCTGCCCACCTCGGCCTCCCAAAGTGTTAGGATTACAGGTATGAATCACTGCACCCGGCCTCTTCCTCGTCTTCTAAGGACCCTGCCATATTGGATTAGGGCCCACCCACAGGACTTCATTTAAGCTTAACTGCGTCTTTGAAGGCCCCATCTTCAAATACAATCACACTGTGGGTTAGGACTTCAACATATGAAACTGGGGAGAGGGGAACATAATTCGGTCCATAACAGGGAGTTAGCTGGTTGCAGAAAGCCTCAATATGCCCGTGCTGGAGCTTCTATAATACTTTTATAATACTCACTACTGATTTACAAAGAAGATTTCAAAATCTATGCCTGGGAATGGCTTTTGCTGGTGCCTGAGACTATCTCCCATCTTTTCTTCCAGAAGCAAGCAGCAGCAACAGCTCAACCTTGACCACTCACCACCCAGACCCTGGGACCCTGGAGCTGTGCCTCAGTAAGCTTCTCCTGCCAACTGCTCTAACCCCAGAACTGGCCCTCGGCCTGGGAGGGAAACAAAGGCCTCCCCGCTTTCCGTTGGTTGGTGTCTAGTGGCCAAGGGCCTTCCTGGCCTTCCTGTGCACCAGTGTGGTTTGTCCCAGAACTATTTGCAGAGCAGGTCTAAAAGGCTTTCTTGGCTCTGATCCCCATCTAGGTGCATAATCTTTGACACAGATCGCTTTAATGACCCATCCCAGGTCAGCAGCTAACAATGCCCTAGGTTCAAATGCTTGAAGAAGTTTGGAGGTGGAAAGGCCATAAAAAATCATCTAGTCCAACTTCCACCCAATGCAAGAGCTTGGTTTTGCTGTCCTCGACATACATATTTCTTCTTCTTCTGTGCACGTTCTTCCTCTTCTTGCATAATTCTAGCCACAAGGCGCTCAGTAATCCATACAGCAACCACTATTATGCATGTCTAGCTAATAGAAAGTTTTGCAGCTGGGCATAGTGGCTCACGCCTATAATCCCAGCACTTTGGGAAGCTGAGGTGGGCAGATCACCTGAGGTCGGGAGTTCGAGACTAGCCTGACCAACATGGTAAAACCCCATCTCTACTAAAAATACAAAAAAATTATCAAGTCTCTACTAAAAATACAGGTGGTGGCATGCACCTGTAGTGCCAGCTACTAGGGAGGCTGAGACCGAAGAATTGCTTGAACCTGGGAGGCAGAGGTTGCAGTGAGCTGAGATTGCACCACTGCACTCCAGCCGGGACAACCCAGTGAGACTCCCTCTCAAAAAGAAAAGAAGAACATTTTGCTTTATTTTGTCTGGTTCCCTTTATCCTGCCCTCATTGAATGACCGAATGCATTAACTTGGGCACTTAAAAGGAAGGGTAGGCTGGGCGTGGTGGGTCATGCCTGTAATCCCAGCACTTTGGGAGGCCGAGGCAGGTGGATCACTTGAGACCAGGAGTTCGAGACCAGCCTGGCCAACAGGGTGAAACCCCTTCTCTACTAAAAACACAAAACATTAGCCAGATGTGGTGGCACACACCTGTAATCCCAGCTACTTGGGAGGCCGAGGCAGGAGAATTGCTTGAACCCAGAAGGTGGAGGTTGCAGTGAGCCGAGATCATGCCACTGCACTCCAGCCTGGGCGACAGAGTGAGACTCTGTCTCAAAAAGAAAAAAAACAAAAAAAAAAAAGGAAGGGTATTAGGGAATAATACATAGAGGTTAAGAGTACGGCTTCAGAGTCCTGCAGACTTGGTTTGAGTTCTCCTTCTTCCATCTTGTGACCTTGGGCAAGTTACAGCCTCAGTTTCTTCATGTAAAATGGGAATAAAAATTGCACCTGTCACTTTGTGAGTAAGGCATAAGCTAATGTGTAAAAGGACACAGCACAGTGCATGGCACGTAGTAGACCCACATCAGTGTCAGCTACCGCGCTGTGATTGTTCTGTTAATATTAATGGTAGAGAAGCCTGGGGGGTGGGACTGGTGGTGCATGCCATCGTCCTTACTCTCCCTTCCCCACCAGACGTGGACTTCTGCCCACAAGCAGCCCGGTGCTGCCGCGCAGGAGTGGACGAGTACGGCTGGATCGCGGCGGCTGTTGGCTGGAGCCTCTGGTTCCTCACCCTCATCCTGCTCTGTGTGGACAAACTGATGAAGCTGACTCCAGATGAGCTCAAGGACTTGCAAGCATGAGACCCAGGCTCGGTGCACAAAGCAGTGATCGCCACCAATTTGTGGCTAATGGGGAAGGGGAGTAGGGCTAACATGGTTTCTATTATTTAAGTCGTTTTCACTTTTAAGCTTCAGTTGCTTTTACAAGGGAAAGAAGAAACAGCGGGAGAACCAAGTGAGGCAAGCCACTGCTGCCCTTGCATGCTGCTCCCAAGGGTGCCTGGGCCTTCTGAGCCCAGGTGACTCCTCTCTCAAGATAGTCCTTCTGGAATTTGTCCTGTTTTAACCTTTCTTCTAGGCACCAAGGGAGGTGCACAAGAAACTATAAGACTTAGTCTCATCGTCAACATGTTCAGAAACAAATGCATAACCTTCTCACCAAAACCAGGTCATTGGCTTCTCTCCCTGCTTGAGTCCCGGGCTTAACTGTCATTTCAGAATGTGAGAATCAGTCAGGTACGGTGGCTCATGCCTGTAATCCTAGCATTTTGGGAGGCAGAGGTGGGCAGATCACTCAAGGTCAGGAGTTCCAGATCAGCCTGGTCAACATGATGAAACCCTGTCTCTACTAAAAGTACACAAATTAGCCAGGTGTGGGGGTGCACACCTGTAATCCCAGCTACTTGGGAGGCTGAGGCAGGAGAATCTCTTGAACCTGGGAGGCAGAGGTTGCAGTGAACCAAGATCATGCCACTGCACTCCAGCCTGGGGGACAGAGCAAGACTCTGTATCAAAAAAAAATGTGAGGATCGGTCGGGCGTGGTGGCTCATGCCTGTAATCCCAGCACTTTGAGAGACTGAGACAGGAGGATCACTTTAGCCCACAAATTCAAGACCAGCCTAGGCAAGATGGCGAGACCTTGTCTCTATTAAAATTTTTTTTAAGTTAAAAATAAAAATGTGAGAATCCCCTTGACACTCCCACCATCTTCACCCACCTCGGGTCCTTCTCCGGCTCTCCTTCTGGCTTCATCCTGTCTTCTACGGCTCTCCTGTCCCACCCATTCTCCCCACCGGTGCCCTAGGTCTGGCCTTCACTGCCTTCCCCTAGGGATATTGCATTCTGTCCTCACTGCCTTGAGGATCTTCCTCCCCAGCTCTTCACTTCCTATGGGCAGCTGCCAGGGTAGGAGTTGTCACCTCCTGCTGGCAACAGTCAGTAGTTCCTAAGGACTAAAACTTCTCAGCCCAGCATTCAGCTCTTTGTAGGAGTCCATCTGTCCCCCAGCACATGCAGGAGTAAGGACTCTGACTGGCCCACTCCTCATCCTGGTGTCTTCAGCTTCCGGCTGCCATTTTCTTGTCTGGGATGGCTGCTTCCCAGCTCCACCTCCAGAATCAAGGATATTCCTCCAAACCCAGTTTGAATGCTTGATCTGCCTGGAGCCTTCCTGGTCATCCTCGGGTGACCTGGAGCTGGTGCTCTTAGCGCACTTCTGTTTCGCCCTGACGTGCAGCTGTTGTGAATGGGCCCCTCCGTAGTTTATCCTTCCTCACCCCACTGGGGCATAGTACCCTATGCAAGTTTGTCCAGCGAGTGCATGGGTGAATTAATGAATGAACGAACAAATGAGTCTTTGCCCTAGATGACTTAAGGTCCTCACTCGGCATTAGGAGCCTCCACTTTTCTCCAGATGGTTGAAATAACCAGCCTCTGAAGGAGCCAGTGGTTTGGTCACTGCTCTCTCAAATTACAGTCATTGTCACTTAGCGCGGAGAGTGGACATTGCACACTACTGTGAACCCTTGCAGAGGAGGGGAGGGCAGGTTTATCAGAAGAAAGGACAAAATGACTCCTTATGAAGCAATTTCTGCCCTCTGTGAGAAAACATGTATTTAGATCAGACAAACTCTAGTCAAAATACAAAAAAGAAAAACAAAAGACCTCTGAAATAGGAACAATCTCTCAAAGAGGCAAATGACTCAAAACTGCTCAATTGCTCTTTCAGAAAATCTAAGTAAACTTCCCTGACAACAGAAACTGAAGAGGTTGCCTGGTTCATCTTGTAGTCTTCCAAAACAGCAGATAATTTCTGAATCTCAGATGTTCAATCAGTACAATGGGATGAATTTCTTGTTCCTAAGTGTTAAATGATCACATACATAAAAGCATCTGAGCCTGAGCAACATAGTGAGTCCCTGTCTCTACAAAAATAAAAATAAAATAATTAGCCAGGCATGGGGAGCACACTGATAGTCCCAGCTACTCAGGAGGCTGAGGTAGGCAGATCACTTGAGCTAGGGAGTTCAAGGCTGCAGTGAGCCATGTTCACGCCACTGCACTCCAGCCTGGGCAACAAAGTGAGACCCTATCTGGGAAAAAAAAAAAAAGTGTCTGCATAATGCCTGGTGCATTTTGTGGATAGACAATATGAGTATGTGTTCCATGTTTTTAGAAATTCAAAGGAAGAGTTTCCACAATATGTGATGGTTTATTTCCCAAGAGATGAAAAGATTCATTAAGGTGCATGCTTTGATTTAACATCTGCAAACATTTAAAAAATATAACAGTGTGTGACATAGCAGTGAGAGTACTATCTTTTTTTAAAAAGGGAAATTAAGATTTATTTCTGGCCTATGTGAACAGAAATAAGTCACTTTATCTCACTGGGCACCAATTTTCTATGTGGAAAATAGAAGAATTGGACCAAATTAGCAGTTTCAAGCTGAGCCGCAAAAGTTCACGGAGCCATTTCAGTCGCTTCATGGAATCGAAGTGAGCATGAGGCCCACTGTTCTTTCAACCTGAGCAGCTTGGCTCTTGTATCATACATTAAACCTTGTGGTAGGGTTTTCTTTTTTTTTTTTTTTTCCTGCTTTAATAAGTGAAGGATCAGGGCACCAGTTGGTATCTGAGATGTCCTCCTGTCTGGGGAACCCCATAGATTCTTAGACTACCTTAAAGTAAAAAGTATGTGCAGTCTGACATCTCACATTAAAATGTAGGCATTTTGTCAATTGCTTTTCTTTCATGTACACAAGAGAAAGGATAGAATGAATCAATACAACCACTCTTTTCCTTGAGACTGTAAAGAAAATGGCTCTATAGTTTGATGGTTCTACTTCCAGGATGCCACCTCTCAGATTTATTCTCAACAGAAAATGTTTTGATTACAGCAGACCAGATCTTTATCTGTCAATAAGTTAAAAAAGGTAATCTGGGCTGGATGTGGTGGCTCACGCCCGTAATTCCAGCACTTTGGGAGGCCAAGACGGGAGGATTGCTTGAGCCCAGGAATTTGAGACCAGCCCGGGCAACACAGCGAAACCCCATCTCTACAAAAAATACGAAAAAATTATTTGGGACTGGTGGCGCATGCCTGTGGTCCCAGTTACGTGGGAGGCTGAGGTGAGAAGATCATTTGAGCCCAGGAGGCTGAGGTTGCAGTGAGCTATGATCTTGCCGTTGCACTCCAGCCTGGGGGACAGAGTGAGACCTTGCCTCAAAAAGAAAAAAAGAAAAAAGAAAAAAGAAAATCTGAGAGGGAAAGCAGGCATCAACTTCCAGCAATCTAAAAATTTCCTAACTTAAAGCAACAGAACTTACCTAATGGTAGATGGACTTTTCATTTTAAAACTTTGCCTTTAGCAGTGGACACTGTCCTCAATATAGCTACAGTTTATGTAACACAGAGTCCATATGATATGGGGAATGCCTGTATCAAAATGTCATATGTAGAAATAAAGTATTAAATATTAAGGTGTGGCATAATTATCTGACTTTAAAAATCATCATTTAGTGGCCCAGCATGGTGGCTCATGCCTGTAATCCCAGCACTTTGGGAGGCCGAGGCAGGCAGATCACCTGAGGTCAGGAGTTTGAGACCAGCCTGGCCAACACGGTGAAACCTTGTTTCTACGAAAAATACAAAAAATTAGCCAGGTGTGGTGGTGGGTCCCTGTAATCCCAGCTACTTGCCGGGGTGGGGCAGGAGAATTGCTTGAACCTTGGAGGCAGAGTTTGCAACGAGCCGAGATTGGGCCACTGCACTCCAGCCTAGGAGACAGAATGACACTCTGTCTCAAATAAATAAATAAATTACATTAAATAAAAATCATCATTTAAAAATCTATTCCTGGCCGGGCACGGTGGCTCAAGCCTGTAATCCCAGCACTTTGGGAGGCTGAGATGGGAGGATCATGAGGTCAGGAGATCGAGACCATCCTGGCTAACACGGTGAAACCCCATCTCTACTAAAAAATACAAAAAACTAGCCGGGCGAGGTGGCGGGTGCCTGTAGTCCCAGCTACTCGGGAGGCTGAGGCAAGAGAATGGCGTAAACCCGGGAGGCGGAACTTGCAGTGAGCCGAGATCCGGCCACTGCATTCCAGCCTGGGCAACAGAGCGAGACTCCATCTCAAAAAAAAAAAAATCTATTCCTGGCTGGGTGCGGTGGCTCACGCCTGTAATCCAAGCACTTTGGGAGTCTGAGGTGGGCGGATCACCTGAGGTCGGAAGTTCAAAACCAGCCTGACCAACATGGAGAAACCCCGTCTCTACCAAAATTACAAAATTAGCTGGCATGGTGGCACATGATTGTAATCCCAGCTACTTGGGAGGCTGAGACAGGAGAATTGCTTGAACCCAGGAGGCAGAGGTTGCAGTGAGCCGAGATCGTGCCACTGCCCTCCAGCCTGTGGGACAGAGCAAGAATCCATCTCAAAAAAAAAAAAAATATATATATATATATATATATATATTCATATGCATGACACCTAATGCAAACAAAACAAATATACAATTTTTTATTAACAATTAAATTTTACAGCATGTAAGATTAATCAGCTGGACCTGGTGGTGCACATCTATAGTCCCAGCTACTGTGGAATCTGAGGAGGGAGGACAGTTTGGGCCCAGTGATTAATTGCTTTGAGGGTGTAATGCCCAATGATCGTGCCTGTGAATAGCCACTGCACTCTAGCCTGGGTGACACAGCAAGACATTGTCTCTAAAATAAAACAAAGCAAAACAAAAAATTAATCAAAAACAAGTCTTAGGATAGCTTGAGCCTTGTCTTAGTCGGTTTGGACTGCTGTAACAAATTATCATAGACTGGGTAGCTTTTAAACAACAGACATTTATTTCTCATGGTTCTGGAGGCTGGAAGTCTGAGATCAGGGTGCCAGCATGGGTGGTTTCTGGGGAGGGTCCACTTCTTGATTCATGGACAGCCGTCCTCTCATTGCATCCTCATGTGGTGGAAAGAGGGCAAAGGAGTTCTCTGGAGCCCCTTCTACAAGGGCACTAATCCCAATCGTGAGGGCTCCACCCTTATGACCTAATCACCTCCTAAAGGCCCCACCTCCAAATACCATCACCTTGGGCACTAGGATTCAACATGAATTTTAGGGGGACACAAATATTCAGTCTATGGGAGACCTCATTTCTACAAAAATATACCGAAGCATATTTTTTAACTTGGAGAAATGTTAATCTAGATGTTTCTGATGAAGAAATTGCTCTGTCTGAACCCCAGTATCCATTCTGAAGTCATCTATAGGGGATCTTCCTTGCCATGTGGTAGGAGTGCCTTGTAAACACCCTCTGCCTGGCATCTACTTCCAGCCTTACCTGGCTCCAGCCCCTCCTCCTCACTTCTTCGAGAGTGATCTGTCTAATACATAAATAAGCAATCAAATCACCCCCTTCCAAAATCCTTCTGTGGCTCTGCACAGCTGACAGAACAGGATTTTTACTCAAGGTGAGCCAAAAGAGCTCCGTAATTGGATCTCCAGACATTTCTCTAGCTTTACCTCTTGCATATCCTTCATGCAAACAGGGTTCAAAATGATTCCCATTCCCTAAACACTCTAACCTCCTGGCCTTCATTTTTGCTGTTCACATGGCCTGGAATGTACATACCCTTCCCCAGAGGAAGACCTGCTGTGAACCAAGAGAAGCTTCAACTTAAGGCTCCCTTATTTGAATGGGCCCCTCCGAGGCCCTCAGTTTAATACTGTATTTCTAATTTTGTATCCTTTTCTTTTCTAAAGGCAGCCTCCCCTTAAATGTCTACATTTAAGGCCCCATAAACCTGGGCCTGCCCTTGCTTCCCCTCGTCTTCCCTGGCCCCCAACTCCCGGCTGGATTTTGGTTTACTGGGATTGGTCTTCCAAGTCAAGTTGCCTCTTCCTCCCTGGATGGACACACACACACACACACACACACACACACACACACACACCCTCCTTGACCAAACTCTAGCCAGGGTTTCTTTTGAGCCCTCTTCTCGACTAGACCTTAACCTTGGCTTATAAAAACTACAGACTCTCAGCATAAATGATTTCATCCACTCTCTTCCCCTCACATTTAAAGACTTGACCAAACACTAACACAGCCTCTAACAGCTCCAGGCTGCACCCCTAGGATGAGCAGGAGGTGGAGACCCTGCCCGGGAGATGCAGCTAGAGGTGAGTGATGCCAGGCCAGGTCCCAGGCACATCATGTGCACGGCACAAAGGTGCTGTTCCCATCCAAACGGAGCTAACCTATGTGAGAGCTGGGGGTGGCAGGGGTGGGGAATTCAGGACTCTCATCCAAGTCCTGGGGCAGCCAGAAGCCCCCTTCCAGTAAACCCCTCTAACACACTGCACATGCACACATACACACATACCCCAGCGCTTTGTCCTGGCCGTGCTCTGGGGATCCCTGAGCTCACTTCCCTCCCCTGCCCACAACCCATAGCCAATTCCACCCCTGCCTGACTCAGAATGGCAGCAGGGAGTGCCATGCCAAGTGTCTGAGGGGCTGGCTGGGTGTACTGGGCTCCAGGGTCCATGTGAGTGCAAAACTCAAGCACGCATGGCAACCACGCTGCTGCCCGCTGGGATCCAGAAAGCTCCAACAGAAGCCCAGGTTGTTCATCACACACTCCGCTTCCTTGAGGAACAGGCACCCTTTAAAATGTGCATAGCAGTTCCTAAGGGCTGCTACAACTCATGGAAAAAGGGAACTGCACATAAGATCTAACACCTGGCTTCCATTACGTGCTCGACTGCTACAAAGCACACTTGCTACATGGTGTATTTGCATATGTGTTGCTCAAACTGTGATAAAAACAAAGACTAAAGTTAAAAAAAAATTGATTCCAAACCATAATCAATCTCATGGCCAGACGCATCAAGAGCCACTGATCAAGGAGCCTAGTGCGGAT